TTATGAAGTAGCAACAAAAATAATTTTATGGTTGGGGCTCACCACAACATGAGGAATTATATTGAAGTGTCACATCACTAGGAAGGTTCAGAACCATTGCCATATACATCATGGAGCAAAAGAATTTCCGTAAAGTCCCATGTTCAGAACTGCACATGGAGTGGGCATTGGAGGGTGGAAGGAGATTCATTGGAGGGGCCAGCAAATAAATGAATGAGTCTGGATACAAAGGTTAGAAGCACGAATTAAGATTTAGCTTCCACTACCAGGGATACACATTAAACAAGGACAGATTACAGAGTTCTGAAAGAGGATGACACTGAAGGAATGGACAGAGGAGACAAATCAAAGACTGAGCTAGAGAGATGGCTGCTGGTTAAGACTGCTTGCTGCTCTAACATGAAGAATGGAACTCAGATCAAGAACCCACATCAGGCAGCTCACAACTGCTGTAACTCCAACTCCAAAGGATCTGACACCCTCAGCTGGCCTCTGCAAGCACCTAGGCACACATGTGTTCATATACTTGATGGGGGAAGTCCTTCTGTGTATATGTTTCTCTTATTGGTTAATGAATAAAGCACTGTTAGCCAATAAGGAAGCAAATTAGGTGGGACTATGAGAGACAGAGGATTCCAGGAAATATAGAAAGAAGGGAGTCACCATGTGATCCTGGGGAAGAGAGGACACATGCCGCTGGCATCGTCAATAAGATAAGTCTTTATAAAATATATAGGTTAATGGTTATGGTTGAGACTTATGACAGAGCTACCAAATAAGAAATCCTAGTTATTGGCCAGCAGCATTGTGACTAACATATGACTCTGTGTGTTATTTGAGGGCCCTAACATGGCGGCAGAACTCAGGCAGCTGGCGGAAAGAGTTATTGTTGCATATACTTATAAACATGAACACATACACATGAACAGAGAACATGTAAGTGGGCAGCAGCACCCAGCAGAGCAAAGGAGAATCAAATACTGGAAATGAAAATTTTTTTTTGGATTTAACATAATGGATGTCATTGGTGGCTTTCCCCCCACAGCAATGTCAGTGAAGTATTTGACTGCAAGACAAGGAAATGCCCAAGAAACAAGGAAGCACAGAACAGCACTGAAGAAGAGAGACAGTGTAACATCTAGATGGATTCAAAGTTTGGAAGTAGAGGGCAATCTGATGGAATAGGGTTCCAGAGGAGATGGAATGAGGAGTACATGAGGCCCAGTTGGTCTTGACTGACAAATACCAAATATCTTTGGAAAGCAGATGGTAGAATGGGAAACTTATGCCTGTTAGTGTCAATGCTGGTGTCAGTGGTTTCAAAGCAGCAAGTGACTTACCACTAAAAAGTAGGATATAAGGATTTACTAAATATGGGAACGTTTGAGAACAAGGGCCAAAGAGAATATCAAAGATACAAGAAAAGAAATATGATTGTTAATCATACTAAGGACATATCTCAAAGTAGAGAATAAACTTTTGTAGTATTACCAACTGTGCTTAAAAACTTGGTATGGAATATATGTGGGGTCATTGGCTGGGAAAGTGAGGTAGCTCACCAAGTGAGAATGAGAGCATGAAGAAAAAAGGAGGGTCAGTTATTGAATGTGTCACTGAAGACCAAGATTCTCATTTGATACTGTCCTGAATGACAAGAAACTTCAGGGTATGACTGGGGGTTGGAGAGTTGGCAGCAGGGTGACATGAAGGTCATGGTGGATGAGATGATCAATAGGACTCAGGTCAGGTTACAGGGGGGAGTCTTCATGATTTAGCCCTTCTTTAGGTCCTCTTCTGAGCAATTTGAGCCATTCCTTCCACATGCTGAGGGATCTTATCTATAGCACAGCCTCTATTTAGGCCAGAGAATTAAATGGTAAATTGGCTGAGGGTAAAATTAGCACAGTCAAAAGCTCTTTGAAAGAAGGAACCATGCACTGAGTGTCTTCTTAAGTTTCTCAAAGAAGCCAGCACTGGCCTGAGAACACAGCCGGTAGGCTAATTCGTCTACATTGAATGCTGTCTGCAGGTGGAATTTCAGTGTAGAACTTTTGTAGGAGTTGATTTTAATTGTGTGAGGCAGTTTTTCTTGTCCCACCAAGTCCCACTGCTTCCAGCTCCAAATAAACACACGAACTTTAGGGCTTCTTATTGGCTAGCTCTGTCCTAATTACTAACTCATTTCTAGCAATCTAAATATTTCCATGTGGCCTTATCTTACTCGAGAAGGGTCTGTACCTGTTACCTCTTTCGTGGCCTACATGGTGACTGCTTCTGACTGTTTCCCAGAATTCCCCTCTCCTTGTCCTGCCTATTTTCCTGCCTCATTGGCCAAACAGTGTTTTATTCATTAACCAAGAAGATAAACATATATAAAGAATGACAAGCCCCATCAATTTATTCTTATTATTTTGATATTTTTCTTATTCTCATTTTGAGATGAAGTCTTTCTTAGAACTTTAGACTTGTCTCAGACTTAACTGGAGAGCCAAGGCTGGCCTCAGACTTACTAGAGAGAGATCCAAGGCTTGCCTCAGATTTACTTACTGGACAGCCCAGGCTGCCCTTAGAATTACTTATTGGAGAGTCCAGGCTGGTCTTGACCTGGCAATCTTTCTGACTTGCTCTCCCAAAAGCTGAGATTTCAGGCACGCACAGCCACATGTATCTTTAAATGTTTTTTTTTTTAACTGCAAATAATTTAAAATATCTAACACTATATTACTACACCTAATTGGTAATATTTCACATCATCCATGAGAAAGGGATTTCTGAAGAAAAAAAATGTTGTTTGTGTTTTAAAAATAGAGTCAGAAAAATAAAAGCAGATATAAATAAAAATATTTTCAAAATGCCATGTTTAAGTGTTTATCTTCTTAAATGATGGCTAAAAGTTCAAAATAGAGTTACTTTATTGAAGTTTTTGAGAAGAGCTGCTATGCTACCATGCAGTTACTGACTAATTATTAATAAGCATCTGAACTGTGTAAGACTCAATGCTGAGACAACTTCTTCTATAAAAATCTAGTATAGCTCAAGTTTACTCTTTCCTATTAGGAAAAACAAAAGCTATAGACGATATTTTGAGTTGAGTTTTTGCCTTTAGAAATTGGCTCTGCAATATCTTGATAGAGGGAACCATTATGAGGCTATCAAGAAACCCAGGAATCCATAGGGATGACCCCATCTAAGACCCTCAGCATTAGTGGAGAGGGTGTCTGAACTAGCTTTCCCCAATTGATGACTACTTGAATTATCATCATAGACCCTTCATTCAACAACTGATAGAAGCGATGCAGAGATCCACAGCTAAGCACTGGATCAAGCTCTCAGAGTACAGTCGAAGAAAGGGAGGAACAATAATATGAGCAAATGGGTCAAAACCATTTTGGGGTGACCCACAGAAACAGCTGACTTGAGCTAGTGGGACCTCATTGACTCCACACTGACAGAGTGAGAACCAGCATAGGATCAAAGTAGGCCCTCTGAATATGGGTGACAGTTGTGTGGCATAGGCAGTCTGTGGAGCCACTGACAGTGGGACCGTGATTTATTCCTAGTGCTTGAACTGGCTTTTTGGAGCCCATTCTCTTTGGAGGGCTATCTTACTCAGCCTAGATTCAGTGGGGAGGGCCTTGGTCCTGCCTCAAAGTGAAGTGTCAGACTTTGTTGACTCCCCATGGGAAGCCTCACCATCTCTGAGGAGTGGATGAAGGGTGGGGTGGGAGGAGGTGTGGAAAGCAGGAGGTGAGGAGGGAGTGGGGACTGGGGTTGGTATGTAAAATGAGAAGATTGTTTTAAAATAAAAAATGATAAAAATGAAATTGGCTCTGAGAAATTAATCAATTCTAATTTTTGGCAAAGAAATAGAATCCTGTTACTCTGGAGCAAGGAGGAAGTTAATATATCAAGGGACAGATTAAATGTGTAAACATCAAAACAACCCACAAACTTTATCACAAGAAAAACTCTCAGTGTTTTTCTCTGTACAATTAGACAGCATGCATTTGTAGTACCTGTTTGGGGCATGCTTGTATTTTGGGGAAGTCACACATAGCTTTATTAGATTCTATGGCTTGAGTTTGGGGTAGCTTGTAAAGATTAGATTTTAATATCTGGTAGTATTGCCACATGTACCCCAGGAGGCTGGACACAATGCCTACCTGGGAAACTCCCAGGTTTTAGATCAACTCCCATGTGACCGAACACAATGAACAGCCACCTTTCCACCAGCCAATACTGTCTAAGCATACTTACTCGTAGGTAGAACTCTCCATTTTCATTTCCAGATTTAATCCGAAAAGTATTAATGGTGTTGGCATAAATAGTTGTGGCCTGTATCTGGAAGATGTCTGATGGCACAGACCTGTCAGATCGGATGCTCATGTATTTGTAGACTATAGACTGGGGCCCCTCTCGGCACATAGCATTTGACACTGGGCAAACACATCGGCTGCAGAGACAAACACAGAAGTGGTCACCAGTTTGGCTCAGGAGGACCAGAAACTTCTGACTTTTAATATAAAGGCTCTAATGTTTCTTACTTTTCTGATGTTAGAACATAGGGATCTTGACATGGGTTTCGTGGGTAACAACGGAAGCCGCCATGATAATTCCAGCACATTTCATCTTCTCGGCACTCATTAGTGGTCTCACATTCATTGATATCTGTAGGCACAGGGTTAAAGAGTTTATTGACCTAAGTAAATTGTATGTGTGGCAGATTCTGGTTTGTAAGGAAGGATACAGGAAGGATTCTAGACTGTGGTTTGTTTTTTGTTATTTAATTTTATTTGTCAGGGTCTTGCCGTGGAGAGCAAGCTGGTGTGGACTTCACAGTGCAATCAAAACTGGCCTTGAACTCAAAATTTTCCTGCAGTAGCCCCCTTATATATGTATGTGTGCACCACCACACTTGGCCTGTTCAGTTTTCTTAGTGAAGAGACTGAACTGACCTAAGTCAGCTACAGTGACATCAAGACAGATATAGCTGAGCCATTGTGGACTAACTAATGCATGACATTTCCTGATATTTTATCTCTTGCCAGTTGTCCATCTGCTGAATTCAAAGTCAAATGCTGATTATGACTTTGCTTATATGAAAGTAAACAAAATACAAACAAAAAATTTCTTCTCTGTTCCAAGGAGCTGATAACATAGTTGAGAATATAGATAGGGCAACCGTTACTTTCAGAGTAGAGTGCAATTAAGATGTAGGTAAGAGCACTACGAATTTCATGTATAGCTGATTGTGTGTGGAGGATTAGGGATGAGAATGGAAGTGGGGCATCTCAAGTGGACCTTTGGGCCTAACAAGAAATCTGGCACTAGGGAAATCTCCAGGGATCCACAAGGATGACCCCAACTGAGAATCTAAGCAATACTGGAGAGGCTACCTTAAATTCTCTCCCCCTATAATGAGATTGATGACTAGGTTAAATGCCATCCTAGAGACTTCATCTAGTAGTTGATGGAAGCAGAAGCAGAGATCAATAGCTAAGCACTGAGTTGAACTCCTGGAATCCAGTTGTAGAGAGGGAGGAGTGATGAACAAAGGGACCAAGACCATGCTGGGGAAACCAACAGAAACCGCTGACCTGAACAAGGGGGAGCTCATGGATCCCAGTCTGACAGCTGGGGAACCAGCTTAGGACCAAACCAGGCCCTTTGAACGTGGGTGTCAGTTGGGAGCCCTGGGATGTCTATGGGACCTCTAGCAGTGGAACCAGTATATGTCCCTAGGTTACGAATGGGCTTTGGAAGCCCATTCCCTATTGAGGGATACTCTTTCAGCCTAGATACACAGAGGAGGGCCTAGCCCCTCCCCCAAATGATGTGACAGACTTTGATGATCCCCCATGGGAGGTCTCACCCTCTCTGAGGAGTGGATGGGGGTGGGATGGGGTATAGTGGGAGGAATGGAATAAGAGGGAACTGGGATTGCTATGTAAAATAAGATTGTTTTAATTTTAAAAAAAGGTGGTGCATAGATGAATTCTCATGCATGAGGGGAATATTTCTAAGGGAGGGCAGCTGTTTCAGGGAAAGGGTATGGAGGGAGAGGCACACACATATGAGAGAGAGAGAGAGAGAGAGAGAGAGAGAGAGAGAGAGAGGGCAACAACAGTTTGCAAGGGACAGGGACAGAGGATGCTCTGGAAGGGGGGTGCACTGATAAAGTGAGCTATGAAGTGTTCCACCTCAGAGCAGAGATATTTTAGGACTGGGTGGAAGAAGGGACTGTTAATGGTGTTAGGCACACAAGGAAAAGGCAATGTAAACAGAAGCAGACAGAGGGGAGAGAGTCTTGAGAATGAGAGTGGTGGTGGAGACCAACTAGACAGACCAGTTAGATCCCTAGATGATAACTGAAGAAAGGATTTTACTAGCCAAGCATTACTGTATGTTACTAGCAATAGTAATATCCATATTATTATGTAATTCCCACTTAATTTCTATGTGAATTGTAGTTTCTATTTTGTCTCACAGAATCCTTTTATGAATCATGTCTTTCCTATAAGTGAGTATTTTCATTCTTTAATTTAGCTTTCCTTAAGTGATTTACCTAATCCTGCTTCAAGTCAGCTCTTTGGAATTTTTATACTTGATATTATCCCTTTAGGGTACTTGTTGCTTTGTAATTTACTTTGTCAGAATCTGTGTTTTGTTTACTTGTTTGTACTACTAGCTTGTAAACCCCTTTGGAGGGGCAGCTGTAGCAACTCCTGAATCTTTCCATTAGTTAGTGTTAAGGCACGGGTCACCTGGCTTTGATGAGTATTATTTCAGTTGTTCCATACAAGCTATGTGGAACTAGGTGACAAGAATATCTTGGTTGGTTATGGAGAAAAAACAGAGGTTAAGTTCAAGGTCATAAAATAACGGGGATAGCTCTACTGTGAGAATAATTCTATGCCATGTCTTTTGAGAAAAGCATTTTTTTTAAATTTCCAACTGGCAGAAGTTTCCTACAATTTCAGGAGAAAACTGGAAAAGCTACATTTTCAGAGAATAAGTTATAAGAACTGTCTTCTTGACCTGACTATGGCTAAAGACGAAAAATCTAAGTTCCATGGAAGTCACTGTTGACATATCCTTTTAATATTTCTACTTTTTTGCACAATGAAGGTGGTGTTCAGCTATGAAGAACACTAAGATTGGTTCATTCAATGGAGAGTGGCAGTAGCAAAGGGAAACTTGATGCTATGACTTCATTTATTACTTCCAGTAATGTAGGATCTACAATAATCAATAGCTGTATCATTCTGGGAAAAACTTCAGGAAGAAACAATATTAAAATATTTGTTATGTATGTATAGGTACATCTTATTTTGATCCTTTCTAGATACACACTTGCACAGTGCTCTGATTTTTGTGACTTTGTGATCTTGAGACTATTTATATCAGATCCTTTGAATTTCTTGAAGAAGATACGAATTCAAATATGTTAGATTTTACTTAGTTCTTATAAATGATGCTGGGGTTTCAGCAGAGTGAAGCAACTGCTTTACATGTTAAAAGAATAGAAATTTGTGTTACCAAAAGTCATTTTGCCACTGCGCTTCTTCAAAATGACAGCGCTGTGAACTTTCACTTGATTTCAATGCATTTTACCCCCAGTTACAACAAATATTCCTGAAGATAGAGCCCAGGCAAATAAGATGCTATCACACATTAATTTGAATTTGTCTTTGCTGACTATCAAATCCACTTGTGAGTAGAAACATACAGATATTTGATTGGATGATTCCAGGGGAATTGGCTAAAATATCCAGCTAGATAATATTTTTCTGCATGTAATATTTATATCTCAATTAGGGTTAAGTGAGACCATTGGAATGCAATGTTTTCCCACAATTAACATTTGTGGAGTTTCTAGTAACCCGGGAAAGGTTATAAAGATGTCATTGTTCAAGAGATGGCATTCTGATCACACTTATACCTACTGGCTGGCGTGTGTTTCCAAACTACAAAAATCCCAGTTCTCAGATGTCCTCTGAGTTCATAGCTGCCCCCACACAATTGTGATGTTAGATGAACACTCCATATGTCTTCAATCTTGTTCTTTTAAAAAATAAAGTCCTTCCTGTCCTCATATATAGTCTAATTCCAACTAAAAGGGACTCTCCAGAGATTTACTATTGCTCATTTACATTGCTAAGTAAACATCAAAACACTGAATTGTGTAGATGTGTTATTTTGTTTCATTCTCACACTCCCCCTTTCAAAAGAGAAATCCAAGGCTTAGAAAAGTCTGATCACTTGTTCAGACTGTGCAGGCAGAATGCAGTAGAGTTAGATTCCAGTAAGCATTCTGTCACTAGGTTCACTATTTTGTGTTACACTACTTTGTGTAAATTTGTTTATATTAGATTTTCTGGGATTGTCTATATTTTTGTCTTTATTTGACAATCTTTCTCCCATTAATGAAATTTTAATCTGTATACCACATTGTAGGTTAGGGGAGAGGGTGCATATTTCCCCCTCTTCCTGGAAGACTCTGAATCATATGTTTTTAGAGATCTCTCCCTTCTACCCAGGAGAAACTGGGCCCATGGTCACTAGCCATTATTGGATCAACAGTTGCCTTTTTTTAGTAATTCATACACATTTAAATATCCATCATTAGTTTTTTTCATCAACACCTAAAATCCTACATGAATTGGATTGGAGTGATGGCATATGCCCATAACCTTAGCACTTAGGAGGCAGAGGCTGGAAGGCTACAAATTTGAGGTCAGCCTGGGTTATATAGAAAGACCCTCTCTCACCCTCCAAGTGTACATAATTCAGAATTGAGGCTTGTTTAAGGATGTCTAGCTCAAGTTGTAAGATTGGCTCTAAACTCAAAACTCAGGGTAAAATATTTTGGTAAGTGAATCTTTTTTGATAGATTATTGGAAGGTGTAATTCCACAGATGTTAATATATTAAGAATTATTAACATTTATTTAAATCACATTTTTAGAAATGAAATTAAAATTTAAAGAAAGTCAGGGTCCCGTTGAATCTCCCTTTCATAAACTGTACTCTATTAATTTTAAGATTCAGGAACACAAATTGTATAATCATGGTTGGAAAATGAAGTTCTAAATCCTGTGACTTTCTCCATGTTCTTCCCGGCTACCTCTGGACTTCGGCTTTACGAGAACAGTGTGCTTACCCTGGCAGGTCCTGCTTCTCACCACTTGGTAGCCCTGGGGGCACATGCATGAGAACTTCCCTGGTTCATTGACACATTGATATTGACACAGGTAGCTCGAGGTTCTGCATTCATCGATGTCTGTAGAGTCAGACAAGAGCATGGACACAGAGCTGAGAAACTTTCCTGCTACCAGTTTTATTTTACATATTTTTAGATAAGCTAAAGAGTGTCAAAACAGTGCAAATTCTAAAATAGGAGAAATGCAGGGCTCTATCTGAAACACAGAGGCCAACTGTGGCATACTTCGTTCCCTGTCTCCCTCCTAGTCTGCAGTGGTTTTCACTGAAGCTAAACAGACTGAGTGAGTGGGCTCGTGACAGACACTCTTCACTTTGGGTTCTGCAGATCTGCTACTAAGGTAGCAGATTGGTGTTTTCTTGTTCAGTAATGGTGTGAGCCTGCTGCTGAGCTCTCCTGAACTTTGAACTTCAACTTCCACACCTGAGCAGTTTTGCAGAGGTGACATCTTGGCATGGTGTGGCCTTTTGGGGAAGAATCTTTTGCATTTCAGAATTAGCACCTACCCTATAGTTTGCTAATTCAGGGTAGAGACAGCAGTGCGGAGCTGACTCCTTGTAATTTTAAGCACAATTGCATGGTTGAGACTTCCTTGAATGGAGTATGACCTATGTGGTCCCAAATAAACATGGCCAGAATCATGAGGGAGGTATGAACATCAAATGTTAATGGCATCCCCTTCATGATGCCTTAAGCTCCTAGAATCACCCAGTGAAGGTGAGGGTGTAATGATTTCACTGGATCCAAGATAAATGATAAATGGGTGTTTATTGGGGAACACTTTCACAGAAAAATACAAAGAACCTCGGAGTGTTTCTCTGTCCCTCTTACCGGATCACTTGACCCAAGAGAAAAAGCCCCATGGAAGCAAGAACATGCCTTATGCATCCCTCTTTTCGATTCCGTGCACCTGAAGCCACGCCCAAAGGGGTGCCACCACCGTTACAGGCAAGACCACTACAACCCAGAATAAGCATCTCCACTGAACTTTCAAGATCACCCTTTCCACTTACTGGCCATCTTTTTACTCACTAGAAACTGCAACCCAGACTTCTTTAAAAATGTGTTGAAGCCACACAGTGCGTAGATAAAGCTAGGGACCAGGTATATTGTTTTTTACTACACCCTCAGCAATCTGTAAACCTAAATGTGCAGATTCTGTTTTAGGAGATTGGAGACAAGGTCTGTGATTCTCACTTTCTCACAAGCTCCCAGCAGAAACTGCCAATAGAGCATACTTTGAGATGAAGATACTCCTAGACTACACCTTGTGTTCCAGCTACCCGATGCTTCTTATTTCTTCCACTCAAAAGCCAAGGTTTTCACTGAACTGCCTTTAGAAGATTACAAGAACAGGATTTGTGGGAGTAAGATTTTGTTTTCATCAGCAGAACAACCACACAAGAAAATGTCAATAAGGTTGACCCTTGTATCTAGAAAACTTGTTACCTTCACAGCTGAGCCTGTCACTGCTCAGTTCATATCCTTGGTTGCACTGGCAGATGAATGAGCCGAGAATATTGTAGCATTGCTGAGCACACTGGTTGCTGGCATCACATTCGTTTATATCTAGGAAAGGATTAAAAGGAAAGGTTTTAAATCTACATCTATCTCCAAGTGTCTGTAGCTGGACATTTTTAGACTCAGCCTTGTTCTTTTGTGCCTCTATCATTTGGTGGTAAGTAGTCCCTCACTGGAGAAGCTCACTGGAGAGCACCCATTCAATTTCACAGTTGTTGGAACAAATTCTAAAGTCTGTTACACACTTCTTTTAAAAATACCAGAATATATTTTTTTCTATGAATGACAGTTTGATTTTTGATAAATCTCCCTCCAAAGAATTTAATGCTTCCAATAAACATACATTTCAGCACCTATTTTCTTATGTTGTTCAAATTCAAAATCCAAATCCATAAATAATTGTTATAAGACACTTGAACTTATATGGTCTCTCAGAATGTGGTGATAAAAAGTTATCTGGGCTATTAGTTACTTCTTAAATGGTTTCTGTTAAATTCTTTGACATAAGCTTTTAAGACCTATGCAGTGCTTTGCTATGCTCCAACACATCGAAAATAAGGTGAAAAAGTCATTTCCCTCCTTGGTAGATTCCTTCCAGGTGGTGCTAGTATTAGAATCACGTGCCATGCATGACATTGCACTCTGAAAGGGGAGAAGAAGCATGCAAGTCCCATGCACTGTTAGTGGAGAGTGTATGAACTTGAACTTCCTGTAACCCTTTGGCCTCTTCAGCTTTCTATCACACACTGTTGACTGATAAAGGTACTTGTATCCATTAATCTCATACATATAAATGAGAACTAGAACCAAGGTTAAAAAATGCTTTCCATTCCTATCCTGGTGTGTTTTAAGAAACAGGTTAGCTATTGTCTTTTCAGCTTTAAGACCCTGAGGGAAGCTGATGGAAACAAGTTCACTTGCGAGCACAGAACACCAGAAACAATGCACCATACCCTGAGGCTTTCTTTTCCCGAGGCAGAAGTTCAGTCAGGATAGCAGTTCTCACAGGACTTACCCACGCAGGTGTAGTTGTTTGCTGCCAACTGAAACCCAGGATTGCACTGGCAGTAAAAGGATCCTGGTGTGTTCACGCATCTTTGGTGGCAATATGGAGGCACGGTGCATTCATCTATATCTAAGTAGATGGCATAGATACAGAACCGTATTGTTAACTGGGCATAGTGGTGCATGACTTTAATTCCAGCACATGGAAGGCAGTGGCAGGTGGGTCTTTGTAAGTTTGAGGCTAGCCTGATCTACACAGTGAGTTACAGGACAGCCAGGGCTGTTACATAGAGAAACTCTGTCTGGTGGGGGATGAGGGGGGCTGAAAGCAAACCCAAACAAGAGCAAACAAATAGAAACAAAACAAAAGATCAATCACACACACTTGTCAGCAGTAAATAAACACATTGAAATGTAAAGAGAGAAAAGAGGTTCAGACCATTTCACACACATACATGAGGATTTCAGATTGGGGTACCAAAAGCTTAATTAAAATGAGGAAAATGAAAAAAAAGAATGAAATTACAGCTTACAATTGAGAGAGATGTGGCCTGTGTTCAGCTGGTGACTGTGGCTAAGCCATTTAAACATTTGTATCTTCATGTTTGTTCAGAACGTGATAGGAAGGCTTGCCATGTGTATCTTAGGAAGTTTTGGGAGGGTCAAATGAAAGAACATTGTGAAAGGAAAGGGTACTACACAAGTGACCTTTTGAGAATGTCCTGACGTTTGGATGAAGTGTTCCAGCCCACGTCCTTCTTTGATAAATATTTCCAACTATAAAATGCTCAACAGAGAACTTGCAGAGACAAACCCACTTAGAAGCATAATAAAATATCATTACCTAATGACTACACTTTGTGGCAACTCCAGCAGAGCACGTGTAGTTTAATAGGAGATTTTTGTACATATAATACAGCACTACAGGGTGACATTATCTCATGGTAAAAAAAGAAAAAAATGAACAAAACTGTATTGCTGTTTTAACAAATGTATGTTCAAATGGACTGAAGCTAACCTGAGGTCCAGTCTCTGATCTGGCAATTCCCTGTCTTAGCTCCAAAGCTTCCATTTCTTATTCTATATGGTAGAATGGTTGGAAAGTTTACACGGTACAGAGTAGGTGATGTATCCAGATGAAAGTGGGTAATGAGAGTGGGAGGTATTATTAGAAAGATACAAAATGTTGTTGGTTAATCGACACACTGAAATAACTAGATAGAGACATCCACACAACCTTTGTATCTGCTTCATGGTACTCAGGGAGGGTAGGTACCCTTTCACTATGTATGATGGTTTGTTGTGCCTCATCTATGTTTTTATCCTGCTTTAGACTTCCATGTAGCCCCTGCTGTTGCTTAATATTGAGATATGTATTTATTTGCTTGTCTGTCTTGCTATTATTTGAGGCAAATAACAGCTGTGTCTTCCCTTGAGACAGCCATCTACTCTCTTGTCTACTCTCTGCTATATGCTTAGTTCTCAGAGCAAGGGCTAGTATAGTAGTTGCTCAATTATATTATTTGATGAATAGGAATCTTACATTAATTAAGAGCTATTCTTTATAGTGCTTCCTAGTACCTTAGGTCATAGCAAGGTGCCATTATTGCTAGTCAATATGTGTGATTTTTTTTCTAATAGCTCCAGAGGAATGATTATGTAAAAATCTATAACTGTACCTGGCACACAGTCAACTCTCAATGAGTATATGATGACTCAATGGTGCCTGTGTCTTCACCTAGTAGACATTCATTTTACAGCATTGCACTTGGCAATAAGGTTGTATAATCATATCTGAACATATAATCTACATTTGTCTGTCACAGGATACAGGCATAAACATGTTACTCCACAGAATTCGAAGATCAATAATAGAAAGGTGTACAAGGGACAGAGACAGTAAGCAGCTCAGTGGCCTGCTGACTGTGGTGGTCCATGGAGGACTGGGTCAATCCATAACAAGTACCAAAACTCAGAGTACATGTTTAGCCATGGCAATTGAAACCAGCACAACACTTTCCTTATAGTTTATATAAATATCAGACTTCAAGAGATTGGAAATTTTCAAAAAAGATCTACTTCATCTTAATTGGTAGGGAGAAGAAGTGACTAGTTATATTTGGATAGATCCTAGCTCCTAGGGGAGGTGACTCTGGGTTGGGATTTGATAATGAAATGGGGTTTTGTAAGGGAGTGTCTCAATGTTCTGGAAAGAATGTGTATAAATGTGTGGCACAGAACCATAATCAGTGAGAAGAAGCTGTGATACATCTTGGGAGGAAGGGTACTGATGCAATCAAAATGATGAGGAAACCCTATTTATGTTCTACTGAGGAATGTAGAGCTACTTTTGTGGGCGAGGGCAACATCAACACACACATGATGAGATATGAGTTCTGCTTTCCACTTCCCTTCCCATAAAGGCTGTCTCTCTATGTTCCTTTGTCTTCAATTCTCCCAGCAGTGGAGCGTGTTACTACTGTTCTTTTAGGCCCTCAGTGTTTATTTTCCTGACTAACCCAAAGAGCATAGCTTTGGCATCTGTGGAGTTTTCCAGTGCTCTTGCTCTGTGTCATAGCTTCCAGCATTACAAACCCTGGTTCTTCCTTGAGTCTGGGCACCCATTCCAGCACCTAGACACAACCCATGGCAGGCAGAGCCAGCCATGGTCTACAAAGAGCTGAGTGCTGACATTCTTATGTCAACAGCTCACATTCTCAGGTAGAAGTTGATGCTGGCTGCCTGTCCCCAAACCCTCACTCTTGGCTCCTAACAGAAAATCTGGCCTTCCCACTGGTCTGTGGTAAAGGGTTAGGTATGTAAACAGATGGGCAGAGGGAGCCAATCCTAGAGGTTCATGACTTCTGCTAGGCCTCTTGATTGAGCCAGAGAGCTGTTTTACTTCACTGCAGGCCAGCCCTCAAATTGTGTTCTTCCATTCATTCAGAATGTATGCAGACAATTTACCACCTGGGCACTTTGTGGGTACTGTGGCATCAGCACCGACACAAGCTGACATGGTCCTAGACCTCAGGGAGGTCTCCTGTCATCATCAAAGACTTGCAATGTAAAGAGGCTTTAGAGCAGTGGTTTTCTACCTGTGGGTCATGATTCCTTTGTATATCAGATACCCGTATATCAGATATATTACAATTTATAACAGTAGAAAAATTATAGTTATGAGACAGCAACAAAATAATTTTATGGTTGGGGGTCACCACAATATGAGCAACTGTATTAAAGGATCACAACATTAGGAAGGTTGAGAACCATTACTTTAGACTATGTTAACTCTACCTGATGATCCCAGCCAGCCACATGGCACAAGACCACACATGTGCTAACTATTGGCATCTATGAGCTCCTGAGTTGGAACTAGTGCTGTTTCTATAGGACAAATGACTATAGTGATACAGAGTAACCTAAATAGCCATAGATTCAAATGACAGTTGTGGTAGAGGGGGCATTTGACCTCAGCATCTTTCTCATGCACCATGTTCCTCTGTGTAGTGGCAAGTGAAGCACCTGTCAACAGTATGTTAGTGACACAACCCTGTAGGGAGTAACCCTAGCCCCGCCCAATAGTCCTGGGGCAGGTACCAGGTGGACCTGGGGACTCGCCCATAAGGGCGGGGTGAAGGAAAGCCGGCATGACGTAAGGGGGGCTTCTTAAAAGGCTGCACGTGGGGACCGGGCGCTCTCTTTGTTCTGGCTGCGCTGGCTGGGTTCTTAACCTAGCTCTGGCCTGTGTTTCACCCGGCTGTGCTTGGAATAAAGAGAGCGTCCTGACAGCAATCCCTACATGCTCCGGAAAAGGAATTGGACTACACCTTCCTGACTACACTGGATTCAACTCACTCCGTTTCGACTGACACTCCAACCAGAACCTCGAGTGACGACTTCAATCAAGTTGAGGATTTCAACGTAGATCTTCAATCAAACAAATCATCTAACATGGACTAGATATAACTCACTAGAGACTTTCCCTGTACTGGCATTTTTTTTTCCACAGGGCCCCCACATGACCATCTTCGTCCCGTTTCAGCAGGAAGTAACCTAGAAGATGCTACGCCCCCGTTCCCCATTATTGTGTACTAGGGTAGTGTAAGCCTAGTTAAGAATGACCTTCTTATTGTTTAGAGTTGGGATTGGAAGAAGGTGTTCAAGTTAGACACTTTTTCCACATGACTTTAAGACTTAGCTAGAATAGACATAGGATGTATCATAGCAGATTATTGTATATTCTTGTATTCCACCCTTATGATTGTTAGTTTTGGATATTTTACACTATTAAGTTTTAATCCTCTCTTAGACTAAAAGGGGAATTGTAGGGAGTAACCCTAGCCCCGCCCAATAGTCCTGGGGCAGGTACCAGGTGGACCTGGGGACTCGCCCATAAGGGCGGGGTGAAGGAAAGCCGGCATGACGTAAGGGGGGCTTCTTAAAAGGCTGCACGTGGGGACCGGGCGCTCTCTTTGTTCTGGCTGCGCTGGCTGGGTTCTTAACCTAGCTCTGGCCTGTGTTTCACCCGGCTGTGCTTGGAATAAAGAGACTTTAATCCAATACAACCCCTAATTAGTTAACTCCTAATTTATTTAGTTCTTAATTGTTTTTATAGTTCCAATCAGACTAGATTTTTGCTTTCACTTAGTCTATAGTACTTTAGTATTCAGGGTAGGCTCAACCATAAGGTTCCTGTTGGCAGTCGGAAACTATATTGGTCGTCCTTGGAAGAGGAAGCAGTTGCTAGCTATCATTCTTCAATCAAGTGGGAGGGCTTTGTTTTGTTGCCTAAAGTTTCTCAAGACAGGAGTCTTAATACTATACCAGGGACTTACCCACACACTGCTCTCCTCTCTTCTGATACCCCGGAAGACACTGGCATGTGAAGGAGCCACGTAAATTGATGCACACTTGATCCTCTCTACAATTGTGGGTCCCTGAGGTGCACTCATCGATATCTGAGAAAGACATGCAATATAGAAAGAATTCCAGTTGTTTGTGAAGATATGGAGGCTTTCTTCATTTGCCACTTCATTTTTCATAAACTGAATTTTACTTTATTATTAAAAAGCATTATAATATGTTATGTTGGAGACATTTAAAATGCAAATGCCTACAAAATAATTTCAGAACTATAGTATGTACACCTGAGATTTAAGATGTCCTAACAATTTTCATGCCTGTCTTAGCCCTTTAGCTGCTTTCAGCTACAGTTAAAGCCTTAATCCATCTTCTTCCTTTTATCTATCACTTATCACTTTCCAAGTAGGCATGGATACTTTCCTGAGACAGTTTTATACTTTATTAGACAGATATGCCTATGAGAATAAATAACAGATCCTTGGAAGGTTAAGGCAGGAGGATCTCCAATTTAAGTGTAGCCTGGGCTACAGAGGAAATTCAAGTCTAGCCTTGACAACTTAGACTCTATCTCAAAGCTGTAAGTAAAATGAGACTAGAATATAACTCATCAGTAGAACACTTTCCTGTATGTGTAATGCCCTAGGTTTGATCACTAGTAGCATGTGCATGTACACACACACACACACACACACACACACACAGAGAGAGAGAGAGAGAGCGAGAGAGAGAGAGAGAGAGCGAGAGAGAGAGAGAGAGAGCGAGAGAGAGAGAGAGAGAGAGAGAGAGAGAGAGAGAGAGAGAGTTAGATTGCACAACTCCTACTTTGGCAATAAAATTGTTTTGTATTTAAGAGAATTTCTTAAGCCTTACTATTACATATTCTCTGTTGCTGTTTTGGGCATATTTTTCTCAAATGGTAGACTAACACAAGTGTAAAACTCAAAATGAAAAGCATCAATTTGATCATATTCTTCTAGGAGAGATGTTAGTATAGGTCAAAATACATAGCTTTCTAAGACATTTTACTTCTGGGAATAATTGCTACATGTGTCTTCAGTAGGAGGCAAGTCAAAGTTCTAGAAAAGAGGTGAACTTACCAAAGAAAGCCAGCTTCAAGAGTTTGTTCCTCACCGAAGTGTGGTAGGAATTTAGTTACTTGTAGGTGGAATTCATTTTCCCTTATCTACATCATTCACAGTCATTAAAAAAATCACATATCCATCAGGAAGTTAGATTTTAAAAGGGGGCTACATAGTTTTGGTATTCTCTAACAACTGAAGAGTAAGCTTTAATAAAAATGTCATAAAATGAGTAATTTCTAGATGACTATTTTTTTTGGATGGAACCAGATAGACTTGCTGGGGAAGGGATCTTAGATCATCACTGTGGTAGACTCAGGGTTGTGGGTAGAGAATCAATGAAAAGAAATTAATTCTCAACAATGAGAATCAACTATGCTTTCTGTTTTCTATCTACAGCAGAGAGTGGCCCTTTGTGTTATTTTGCTTTTGATTTTTCTGGGAAAATTGAATTGTTGCATGTAGTGTCATAAAGTAAGCTCTTCATTTCATAAGAGGGCCATTCTGAGATAACCCTGCACGTAGCCGGGTGTGGGAGCAATAACAGAGACTCTATACAGAAAAAGAGGGAAGGAGGATGAAGATGGACCAGTGATAAAACCTAGTAAGGCTTTCTTTGACACATAATTCTTGGAACCTGGTTTTAAAACACTAATAAGGTTTTCTGTTGTTCTGAAATGCATTAATGCTATCACTGTGATGCTGTTTTCCAATTTAGCACAGAGTGCCCTTTCTAGGTGAAAGGCCCTGGAGCAGAGACCCTCCTGTGAAGTTATCTGCCCCCTTTAATGCCTCATTATTTTCTAAATGCACTTGATGAAAACCTTTCTACTGGGGATTCTTTGGAGCTTTATGACTTGCTAATGCAGAAATGGCAGCAGAATTCCTATTGTTTTATATCAGGGACATCTGCCAACGTTTTTGGTGATAACAGCCCTGAGAGATAGAGTCATAGTAGATCCAACCAGGGCAAGTTCCCTCTGTCCATGCTGGCAGGAGATCAAGGTTTTGGCTGGCTTGGCACTGCTAAGGAAGGCCTTGTCAGTGACTAAAACTTTTCTTTTTGCAACCACTCTGTGCAAACCGCCTCCACCCTATCATGTTCCTGGTATCCTGCAAGTTCCTTCCTATTTTCCCATCATTTGTTTGGAAATGTCTTTGATAAATAGACTAAAATTTCCACTGGGATCAATGTATCATGAAATAGGTTTTAAGTATACAAACCTGTAAAGCTCCTTTCTAAAAGTCTGCTCCAGTTAGCTTCTGAATAGAATTATCCAACAAAAAATACTTGGTGAGTTACAGTAGTTTAATAAAAGCAAAGTCCCAAATACTACTGTCACCATTCCAACCATTTCCTTTCTCTACCCAAAACAACAAAGCTGAGATAGAACTTGCTTCATCTAGTTCTGGTGAATGAAACGTTCCTTTAACCTGGACTTATAAATGCTAAAAGCATAACCTCTACAGCCAGGAGGCAGCTTCATTTGAGTTTCTGTTTGTACCAGTGTTGTATTTATTTGCCCCATATTTATTCTCCCCAACCCTCACATTTAGCAACTTACTTAATGCTGAAGACTATCAACAGACTGAATTTCTGCGGACTGTCTTCAATTATAGTTTCTGTTTAAATGCCATAATGCTATTGTTTTTGAAGATCCCATTATTGCTTGTTTATGTGCCCACAGAAAGTCATGCTAAACTTCTCTAAATACTTTTCGTTCTTCTTTGCTGCTTGTGTGTTGTCAGAAGGCTCGGTGTGATACTACGTCACATCACTACACCAGTGCAGCACAGTCACTGCCTTTGCAGGAGCCTCTGTTGTTGGTGAGGAAAGCTAACTTCCTCCATCTGTTTGGGAGGCCATCTGTGTGGGCAAAGCCCTGCTTTATTTAACAGGAAAATGACTCAGGTCAGCCATGTTTTTCTGAGAATCTAGAAACAAATACTCTGGGGGAAAGAATTTTTATTTTTGTTTTTAATTATCTATCATTTGTCCTTGACAGTTAAGTTCATTTCCCCTGCTTACTATAGTGCATGGAATGTGATGGGTTTTCAGTAAATGTTTACCCAATTAATGGATGAATGAATCATCAGCTTGGTGTTCAGGGTTTACAGAAAGTAGGACCAGTGCTTTAGATTATGGAAGTAAAATTCATAAGGCAGAGTAACAGATAAGGCCTGAGGAGCACAGCAGAATGAATAATTTGCTTGTGGGGCAAAGCAGTTGAGTTCAGAGGATTCCGACTACATTGCCCAGAGTGAGCAGCCTGAAAGCTTAGCAGAGGAGCTAGGTCCTGAGTTGCTGTGTGAAGAGCTGCCATGTGAAGTTCTGGATAGGGCAGTGAAGGAAGCTGTCTGTTGGAAGGTAGGTCCCACCAGTCAGAGACCTAGTGACTATGCAGAGAAAGGCAGGGAGCTGGAGTCAACATGTCTGTAGGGGCTGTGTGTGAGAAACCCGGTGCTGGGTCTGGCAAAATGTGCTCATAAAATGCTTGCTCAAGTCACTAGTAAAATTCAGACTTAAATGTGGGATTCAAGGGTTTGTATTGAACACTATAGCAAACAGCCAATAATGAAGCTGTCATGGACTAATGTTCACATTACCAAGGAACAAAACAATCGAATCTGCTTCCTAAAATTCTACAACACTTTTGATCATTCTGATACATTGAGACTAACTAAGGGCATTATTTAGTGATTCCTTCATTTAAAAGTGTGCAGATCTCCTTCCTTGTGGTTCATACTATTGGAGGTGTCCCTCTTCTTGACACTGACACCCTTGGTTGCTTTAAATTATCCAGTATAATCTTTGGTGAGCTCTCTATCAGGCTTGCTCTAGTCAGTGGCACTGCAGAGCTGACATTATCTGCAAGCTAACACAGGGATGATGTTCATTCATTGGTGTCTGCTAGGCCCCTGCTGAGGCCTTTGTTCTCTGCTTTTGGCTCCTTCCCTATATTCTGACTCATAATTTCCAAATCCCTGACTCATGTTGCTCTCTCTCTCTTATGCAACATTTTAATCTCTGCAATGTTCTTTCCATAATTTGATAACTTACCACAACATGGAGTCACTTCAGTGTGCTTTATGGGCAACGGTGACATGCATTCTGAGTGCTCAGTTGTACCCCCTTGCCTCTTGGCTTTGTGTCACTTTAAGAGATGACCCAACTGCTTTTGAGGAAGGCACTGTAGACTAGCAGTCAGCACACTGAAAGGGGGAAGGGATTGAAGTGATGGATTCTCTTGCTGCCCCTGTGACCTAGAACTGTGACATCATTAAACTTTTTCAGTAGAAAGGAGCTGACTGGACTAGGGTCTTAGGGATTTGGTTGCTTTTATTTTCAAAACTATTGTAGAAGGTAGGAACTTCTTAACAAGTGTTGAGAACATTGTAGTTCTACCTCTTATCTAGTAGTGGTTTCTGGTAATTACAGTTTTGGCAACCATTAATGCTACTGATTAAAATCTCCTTAGAGGAGAGTGTATACTATTTAATATAGCTTTATATAGACATTTGTTAAAATTCTAAAACAAATTGGCATAAAATAGATAAATGCTTTGCTATATGGAAAGTTGTTATTAAGAATTTGGGTTTCTGAAGGCCCTGACTTACTCCAGGGAGCCTCATGAAACTGATGGTCCTATTGTCTACAGTTATCATGCCAGGAAGGAGGATTCTATTCTAGCTACATGTAGTCAGGGCTGCCTGATGTTACAAAAATCCCTGAGGTTCAAACCCAAGATTTCCCCTTTGCTCCTTCTGTGATTTAGTTCTCCATAGACTTCTCTCCCACAAGCGTGGATAACAAAGGTTGGGCTGCAGTCACGTATATTTTAATCTTTTTCTCAGGGTTAGAAGCTTTGCTAATTGTGTCATACATGGATTCTTCCCTGTGTCTTTCTTTTGCTTAGAGTTAGATTTCTAGCTCTCTGTGCTTCCTGTTTCCCTCCCGAGTCTTAGCCACTTATCAACAATTTTTGTCAAAAACTTTCTGGTTCCCTTTTTTGCTTCCTTTATGGAGCTGGGATTCAATTTATCTGGCAAAATGCCCAGTTCCAGTTGGCTTTTCACCCTTCAGCTAGAATTCACCCAAGCTAAGCAGTTCTAGTGGAGAAAAGAGATATTTACTAACAGAGGAGAACTGTCATCATCATGGACAGCTGTAGATTTATAGTTCTAGATTCTTATCAATTCTGGCAAAACATAGATAATAATTTGGTGTGCCTTACGAGATAAACAAAAACATAAAAATCAGCTTTCAGCCCTCTTGATGGTTCAGTCTTTGTTTTAGAAGGTGACCAAATCAAGTGGCCTGGAAATCCTTGGCACTCTACCATGTCCTAGTAGAATCTTGCAACATGTTGTTCCCATGTGAAAAAAAAAGTCACATGTATCAGGGCTGCTTCTTCAGCAATGAGGATGTATTTGCACTGAAGATCAACCCTTGCTCCCTAGCTTCCTGTGGAACAATACATTTCAAATATAAGCTGGCTAGATGGGCTTCAGTGTATCATTCATAAATGTGGAAAGAAAACCACCTGGTTCACATGAGTGCTTAACCTGTGACTAGATGTACTTGTAGTCACGGGCTGAAACAGAAGAATGGCAAGAAACAAAGGCCCGAGTGCTCATTCTTTAGTGCTCTTTGTCACTGGAAAGTGCAGCTGACTGTACTCAGAACATTAAAGCAACATTTCCTACAGATAAATATTTTAGTATTGGGGTACTTCCAGGCATCTATGTGAATGTATCATACCCAGATGAACTCACATAATTACTCACCAAATATGTTTGGGGAGAGATGCTCTAGAATAGGGGATAGTAGGCCCAGTGATCCAACTGCAACCTTGGGGAGTATGACTGTATTTTGAAATATCAGTCTTTGCTCTTGGGTGACTGAGTACTAGGAATAAAAGCCCTTCTGTGTGACAAATTCAAGTTTATTCTATAAGGTTGGTCATTATTTTTTAATATCCATTAAAATGGATGGTCTTGGGAGTAATTATGATTACACTGGCTATTGGATGTGTTTACATCCAGTTCTGTTTTGCTGGTGTCTTGGCACTGGTCATTTCTTGGCCCCCAAATCAAACTCTGCTAAGTGACAAACTGAGGGGAGATGAACTCCACTTCCTGAGCCTCCTGAATCTTCCATGAGTAATATATGACTTGAGGCCTTACAGCTGGATTGTTCAGTCCTCCATCCCAAAGCAAACTCATTCCTGGCCTTTTCTTTTAAGCAAATCATCACTTGGAATCACACAAGCCCCTGGCTATGGCAATGCCAATTATAACAAACATGGCTTGGTGGTTTCATAATTTTATGAGACCAATTGTATTCTTGTTCATTTGACATTAAGTAGATTTTGTTCCTGCTAAATTTGAGCACAGTACTAAGTGATGGGTGTGACTTTGCATTATTTCTCCAACTCACTGACCTACAGCTTCTCAAAGTATGTCTTTGTGACTCTTTTGGATCATGATACCTTATTGATTATGTTTTCCTGCCCACTTAATTAAATCATATGATATTTACACACAATGGTCCTTATGAATTTTCTGACTTCCAAATGTAACATGGAGGTAAGATAATGGGCTAGAGATGCTAGACTAAAAAAATGTTGCAATTATTTCTTTGTGTTTCTGTTTTAGATTCTGGATTCTTTGAATAAAGAGTAGTGGAGGACGGATATGTGGGTAAATTGAAGTGAATAATGACAGTAAAAAGTACAATAATTGGTTTTCAGAGACATAAGATACTTAAAACATACAGGAATCATATGACTTACAAAATATTTAAAATAGATGCACAGAGAGTACTGGGGAGATGCTCAGGGGAGAAAGCTCTTGCTTTGATTATGTAGACCAGAGGATCCTCCAAAACCATATATAAGAGAAATGCATACCTGTCCCCTCAGGGTGACCATGAGAGAGTGCACAGCTGTCCCCTCAGGTGACCATGGTGAGAGTGTACATCTATCCCTCAGTGTGACCATGAGAGAGTGCACACCTGTCCCCTCAGGTGACCATGAGAGAGTGTACACCTGTCCCCTCAGGGTTACCATGAGAGAGTGTACACTGTCCCCTCAGGGTTACCATGAGAGAGTGTACACTGTCCCCTCAGGTGACCATGAGAAAGTGCACACTGTTCCCTCAGGTGACCATAACATAGTGCACACCTGTCCCCTCAGGGTGACCATGGTGAGTTGGGATGCAGAGGCAGGAGAATTCCCCAGAGGTCAAGGGCCAGCTATTCTGACATTCGCAGGAGCAAGCAACAAGAATCTCTCAAAACAATATGGAAGGTAAGGACTGGCACCTGACATTTTCCACACTTGGGTGGCAGGGGCTCCTGTGTTTTCAGATAGGAAAACTCACACATATGAACACAAAAACATAAATACCGCATATATTTACAATATTTTAAAATGTATTGGATTGATAGGAGGATAAGTGGAACTTAAGTATTTTTACTATATTTTCAGATCCTCAGGAAAGGTTAAAACTTCTTGTGTAGATTGGATTGTGATAAGCCAGGATGCATGCTTCAGCAATCCCCAGGGGGAACAAAAAGGAATAATAATAACATGGAACTAGAAATCTGACTGAGGGGAAACCAATCACAGAAAATACTTTGTCAATTTAAACAGACGGCAAAGAAGAAGGAGGAGGAGAAGGAGAAGAAAAGAAAATTGAAATGTGCAAGAAATGTAGGAGGCAGATAGTAAAATAGTTGTTTTGGGTTTTACAAATATTAATAAGTATAGTGACTAGAAGTGGACTACGTGTTTCTCTAAGAAAAACACAAACTGAGTAGGTGGATGGTTCAGCAATCAAAAATGCTCACTATGAAAACTGATGACACAAGTTCAATTTATGAAACCCATGTAAAGGTAGAAGGGGAGAACTGACCTCATAATCATATTGCTCACATCATATACACAAACAATAATAATAAATTTTTAAAAGTCAGATAATTAAATAAAGTGAATATGCTGTTTCAAGTAACATAATTTAACTGTAAGTATATAGATATTAAAGAAAAAGAGTGGGAAAATATACTATACAAATATTAACCAAAGTTTAGATTTGCAATTTTAATATTGGATAAAATTGACTTTAAGGGAAAAAATCATTAAGGAATAAATCAGGAATAGTACTAACATCAAAAGTTTTAGGGAAATGTAGAAACTCTAAATTTAAAAGCATTTAATCATAAAATAAAAGATAAATATAAAACTAACTAAGTACAATTATGGTAAGATTTCAGCACATTTCTCCCAGGAACTGAAAGAATCATCATACATCAGAAATGAAGACAAAATAAAAATGATATGTCAAAAATCTTTGAAAAAATGCACACCACTGTATGGAATACAAAGTTTTCTATGTAGTGAGAGACTGTTAAAAGAAAATAGCCATGCGATATGGAGGTTATGGTTCCCAGTGGGGGTAGCTCAGTGGCAGAGCATTAACCACACTTATGTTCTCCAGCTACAGTAGAGATGAAGCAGAAACAAACAAAAGGACACTGGCAATAACACTAGAAAAGCTCTGGTTTGGGAAAAGAAGGCAGGCATTTCTAACCAGTCTGTGTCTTAGAGGAGCTAGTGAAAGTAAAAATGAAGACTACTGCAAGCTGAATTACTTCCTAAGTTGTGGGAACAGATCGCCTACCTCTGTACTTCCTCCACCAGTCTTGACCTTTTTCTCTGTGCTCAAGCCCTAAGAGTCACAGTTGGCTCACAGTGGACTCTGGCATCCTGAGACGCTATCTAGAGGAAAGAGGAAACTATCTCGACCACACCATTTCCAAAGGGCCAAAGTAGAAGAAATGAGAAGACTTCAAGGAAGCTAGAGTTTACCATTCAAGAGAAGCTGTTTCAGTGATTAGATGCCTCGCAGTACACAGAGGTAATGAGTTTCCCATCTCTGGGAATAGGTATGCAGGGCGCCATGGGTCTTGTGCAGGTGGCGGGGACCTGCCTGTCTCATTGTCTTTGTTTGAAAACAGTGATAAGGTGTAACACGAAAATGGGGCAGTGGAAATGACTTTTTAATCTTGCCTTTGTATTGTACAATTAACTTTTCCTCTAAGCTACACACACACACACACACACACACACACACACACACACCAAAAGAAAGAAAGGAAGAAAGAAAGAAAGAAAGAAGGAAAGAAAGAAAGAAAAGCCCACTGCGTTCATTTAGTAGTATTGCATAAGGCTTCAAGAGGATTAAGCACATTTTCTCATTTGGCACATCATGCGCACATACACCATGTGCACACACACCATGTGCACACACCCCTTGTGCATACACACCATGAGCACATACACCATGTGCGCACACACACCCCCACCCACACACACACACACACACACACACACACACACACACACACACACGAGCACATACACCATGTGCACGCACACCCCTTGTGCACACACACCATGAGCACATACACCATCTGCGCGCACACCGTGAGCAGGCACATGTGTCTTTGTATAGTAAGGAAGTTAGCTTTTGTATTTATCTCATAAATCTGACAAACTTGATAAAATATACTGGGGAACACTCCTATCTCAAGGGCCTGATTATTTCCTTCCTTCTCCTCGAGCAGAAAAGCAGTTCACGTCTTTGACTTCTTGCTCTCTGCCCGGTACTAAAGCTTTCTCAGAAGGGAGGACCCCTCACTTTTTACCACGTCAAGGCATAAGATTACTCAGTAATAAAAATATTAAATGTGAGCAGCTATCAGCTTGTACTTACAATTACCATTTTCCCCGAGCTATCATCCTATATTCTTCAATTGAATTTTCCGATAAACTGTGTTGCCATAGACTGTGGGATCCCTCCTTCTTTGTGAAAAAGCACTCTGAATGCTGTGCAAGTTGAGCACTTGGTGGAGTGTAAAAGTGATGTGGGGCAAGAGAAAATCCTGTTCAATAAAGCTGCAGGCCCTGTGGGAGCTCTGTGTCTAAAGAGTTCTGCAAACCAGCATAGAAAATGGTCTTCTTTGAACTTTTAAATAAACCTTGGGCCTTTTATTTCCTTGGTGGGAATGGTAAGTTTTCCAGTATTTTTATTCTGAGATCTCCTTCAATCCTGAAACAATGGTTTCTTTGATGAGTTCTTGGGTGCTGTTTTCAAAAGCATCCATTTCCCTGCTCTTAACTCATTTCCATGAAAAACTCGTCCTTGTGTTTTTGGGGTCAGGATCCCAAGTCTCCGATTCTTCTCCATGCTTTTTAATTTTTCATCAAACTTCTCCTTCCCTCTCCTGGATTGGATCAAAGGGGAGTCTGAAAATGACTCATCTTTCTGGGTAAGGGGAAAGGATTGTCCTCAGAGGAGCAGGGAGTCTTTGTTGGTTAAAAAGACTGCTGTGCACCTGAGAAATTCCTTGTTTACAGGACTTTAGAGTAGCAGAATGCATGCTTGGCAATGCAAAGTGGAGGGAACCTCATAGGAGACACACACTGTACAGTGTTGCTCAGCTGGTGAAGTACAAAGACAGATGGAGTTGTGCCAGGACGTGGTACATGTGTTAAAGGGAGATGCTCAATAATCCAGTCTTCAAGGGAATTGTTTTTGTGGCTCTCTTAGGTTTACTGTAATGGTTGCTGTATGTGGCACATGTATGTAGCCTATCATATTCCACAAATATGGGAGGAAAACGGAACATTTGAGCAATTCATATTGTTAATTTTAAAATTACCTTAGCATTATTTTCCCCTAGAAATGTAATATTTTATTTATGGAAACCCTTAAATGAAAACCGTTGGCTTCGGGCACACATGCGGTTAATGCCGATGATGGTGAAGCTGCCAGAAATGTGTATAGATGTCCCCTGCCAGTGACTGTCAATCACTTATTTCTTTATTTCCTGAAATAGAGGAATCAAGCTATTCTCTCCCTGCTAGTATTTTAAGTTCTAATTTCTTTTATTTGAAATGCAATTTTTATTACAAATATAACAAAGATGCTTATGTATAACTTATTATACCATGAACCAAGCTCAAAGGAGCTACAGATCTGTTTAAAAAATTTTAAACTTGCAGAATAACTTTTTCGTATGTGGCTCCTTGTCTGAAGTATGATTGATACAGAAGGATGAGTAGGATCATGGGTATTGTCCTGTGTGTGTGTGTGTGTGTGTGTGTGTGTGTGTGTGTGTTGTGTGTTGTGTGTATGTGTGGTACGTGTATGTTGTATGTATGTATACATGTTCATATAGGCATGTACATCCATGTATGTAGGTGTGTTCACCTATGCATGTGCCTATTGAGGCCAGAAGCCAATGTTTTATGTCCTTTCTTCCCATCTTATTTTTTGAGACATGATCTCTTACTGAACCTGGAACTCCCTTTCTGGCTAGTGTGGTTGGCCAATGAGTCCTGGGGATCTGTTTCCCCTTTTACAAAGGGTTGGGACCCAGACATGTGCTGCTGCTTCTGTCTTTTGTCTGAGTGCTTAGGATCCAAATGCACATGCCTACACTCGTGCAGCAAGCACTCTTCCCATTGTGCTATCTTCCCAGACTGAGGTCACAAGTTTTATAATCACATAGGTCTCAACTCTAAACAGAATTACAGTTTTATTTTGTGTCCTAGGAAATTTATTTGACCTTTCCAAGTCCCAATGCTATATCTATCAAGTAGAGATAATATCAATATCATAATGTTACTGTGGTGATTAACTGATATACTACAGTAAAAATATTACTGGGTCAAAGTAAGTGCTCAATAAATTGCTTAATATGAAAAGGCTAAAAGTTGACAGTGGATCAGGTGAATATTTCAGTTGGATACAGATTGAAGGAAATAAGAAAATTGCAAATATTATGACTTTCAACATAATTTTCATATTAATTTGCATGTAATTAGACACCCTGTCTTCATTTCTTTGCTTAGTCGTGTTTTAATATGGCCTACCATGGCCGCAGCCTGATCAAGAGGGTCACCAACACCAACCACTGTGTGACCTTCCCTCCTTTTGACATTTCCAGATGAATGGGTTTAAGAACAGGTAAAGCCAGACTTCCTTATATTTATTTCTCATTGAGAAAATTGGGACCTTCAACAAAAAGGGGTCTGGCAAAATAAAATAAATATAGCACTTTTCATAATGTTTTGTGATAGGGAAGGATGGTCCATGACAATGAGGCATTAGTGTTTATAAAGAGGGCCTAGCAGACAGTACCAATCAGAGCTCCAATTAGTATTGAAATATAAATCCAAGAGAGTACTATTACAAAAGCTCCAGCTACTTAAAAGATAAGGAAATTTTAGTGGCAACTTTCATTTATTTATAATTATGTTAGGGGAATTTTAGTCACTGTCTTTCAAGTCAGTAATGAAATTAAAACTCAGAACTAGAGGAGAAATGGAGGGTCAGGATCCTGCAGTTTTTTCTAAGGACAAGGCTGGGTGCTGAACTGAAATGAATGAGTTAGATTTGCAGGGTATCTCATTTCTCCAATGAGGAGGTTCAAAGCACAACTGTGGTCTATAGCACTTGGCCCTGTGTGTCAGTGAAGCAGCCATTTGGCCACAGCAGAGGGAGGTTTCAGTGAGAGCAGCTTTCAGGTTTTGAGATGTTTACAGGTAATGGACTAAGACTATGTCATACTGAGAGACAGTTTTTTTTGAAAGTTAATTTTCGTTTTCTTTCGGACATCAAACATTGTGAGGAGAATCATTTACATTAATGTGTGTAGTCTCTTGTTTCCATATTAAAGGTGTAGGTAAGAAACTGACAGCAACTTCCTCTGTCATCTTGGATTGGCTCAGTATTTCTTATGTTTAATATTTAGTTTTGCATCACCTTCAAGGCCATTGCTCTAATTAGAAAGTCCTAACTGCTGCTCCCTCAGTGAGGGACACAGACAGACCTTGGACACCTCTTCTTGGACAGTTGTTTGAAGTTGCTTTTACTCTGGCCAGGGGCATGTCACTTGCCATCTTCACCTTCCTTGTGAAGCTGGAGCAGCCAGACTCTCAGGGATCCCAAACCCTGAATATGGCTATATACTCAGATGATAATAAAGTTTAGACAGTTCCTCACAATTGCTCCAAACCTTCACTGAGACAGGTGCTTCCATATATAAAATGGCCTCTCTTGGGCTCCTGCTCACCAGTGCATCTTATACAACTCTCCATACCATATGCTTCTTTTCCAAAATTTCTTTGACCAACATGGTGTCCCATTGTCCAACTGGCCTTTGGACAGTTGTAGCCATAACCTTCCTTGCTAAGAAAAACTAGCAGCAATTGTGAACTACCTTGGCGAGGCTCCTGCTGGCTGTTCTCCACCTCGTTTTTAATTAAAGCCACAGTAAGGATGAAGGGGCACTTGGTTCACGGTGCCTTATCTGGCCCAAGCCTCTATACAAGTTCTACTCTGACCAATAATCTCTGGAAATGTCCTTTGGTAACTGCAGCTTTATATAAATCAAGGCACATATCAGTGGCTGGTGTCATTTTATAGCCCCAGCAAGTTGAGATTAGCAACTGAGCTCTCTGTTGGATTTGAGGTACACATCCTAATATTTTTATAGTAAAAAGAAACAAAGCACTTAGGTAAACAATGGTTAATGCTTCCATTATATTTTACAGTTTACTTGTCTCCATGATAAAAGATTTCTTTTTGCATAACTAGAGAATGTTGTGCCAAGTAATGTGTTTATATGGACTTTCTTCTTGGCCTCTGCAAACCCCAAATTTCAGCTTTGTTTGCAAACAAGTATTTCAATCAGTTTTACTACAAGCTCTAAAACAGAGCAGATTTCAAATAGTAAAACCTCCTTCAAGAACTACAGCTGGGGTCTTATTGGCTAAAACTAGTGGTGGTGGTGGTGGAAGTGACTTGCCCATCACCAAGGAGATCCATCAAGCTGGCTTGACCTCTGC